ATTATTTCAACAATGTTTCAAGAACTAGGACTTTGGATTTCACATACAGGTATGTACCTTTTGCTCTTACTTCAAAACACAGAGCTTCTGAGCCACAGCTCAAATAACCTTTCCAACCATCTATTCCTTACCTGTCTACTTTAGTAATTAGAGAGCTTGCAAGTGTGTGGCAGTATAATAGCACTGATTTGAATGGAGATGATGACCTGAAAGCTGCCAGCAAAATTTATTTCATAAGCAATTAGATAAGCAAAAAAAAAAAAGTAGGTCCAGAATTAGCTGAGTATGTACAACAACAGTTAGGATTATTTAAGTTAGCTTAGTTAGACTGCCAGGGATGCTGCCCCACTGAAAATTGTATGGGTCAAGTATGCTTAAAAGACCAAAAGGCTTCTGCTTCTGTTCCCCCAGCTGGCTTCTTATCATTGATTTTTGACAGCGTATTTTTATTTCATTCTTCTGGGCAAATAATTCAAAAAGCCATTTCAAATGTGAAAGGAGACCCATTGTTAAGTTATGTGAAATTAATATAGCCAAGAAGCTGTTACTAATGTTTATTTATAAGCATGAAACAAGCTTATGGATGTGAAGATAGAGCCTGGCTTTGGTTCTACAGAATTCTTCTATCGCTTAGCAAAAATAAACAAACAAAAAATCTGGGAGGTAGTTTTCCTGCAATTAAAAAAAGAAGCACATATGTGTGTGTGCGTGCCTCAGCCAAATAGCATCTTAAAAAAAAAAGAAAGAAAAAAAACTTGGTATCCACTAGAAACGTATCCCAATGATTTAATACACATAATTGGCAAAACATTAGGACTGAAAAAATTAGGCACATTCTGATTATTTTATGTGATCAGCGATATATTGCTAAATCTTTAAGCTCATATTAATTTTATAGTAATTGTATGTTATTTGTGGATATTTACATTACTGGCATAATGATATTATTCCCAAATAATGCATGTTGCGTGAATGTGTTGCTTACATAATTTGGAATGATGCAAACTGCTGGAAACGATGTAATTTGATATTTAAGAGATATTCCTTTTTTGTCTTCACTCCAGTTATCAATTGGTCCATTAAATTGAGGTGTCAATATAGTGGAATATCAGATTTATAATTGATAACAACTACAGCTACAAAGCAGACATTGTAGTTGTAAGGGCTATTTGAATATTTCCTGCACTTCATCACTAAATGAATTGAAATGTCAATAGAGCAAAACCTGTATAATTTGTTCATTTATTGCATTGAACTCAAAAATGATACCCCCTTTTTTGGGAGGTACCAATAGTACGGTTCCTATTATATTTGAAGCTGTATCTTTCAATATTTTGGTCTGTGTCTTTAAAGTTTCTCACGAATTTGGTGAATTGTATACCAAGAAGAAATTACTTGTGTTGTTCATACTGTTTTGGATTCTTCAGCGTCCCCACCCCCAATATTGAATTTACAAACATAATTTCCTTTATACTCAATCAATATGTGATTCTATAATAAAGCATCTACCCCTTTTGAATTTCATATTATTTTCATGCCCTTCAATTGAAAGAGAAAGAGTGGGCAACTATGCTGGATTTAATGATTACAATGTTTTATTTTTTCTTCTAATTATTCTGTAGTTAAATATTCATTATTTATAAGTTTAATTTAATTCTAATACTTTTTCAATATTGGCATTGGGGTATACGTCAATTAATCCTATATTGCTGTCAAAAATCATAAGTTGATACATATTAAAAATATGTGTTAAAATATTCTTAGAATATTCTCCAATCAACAAAATGTAAATTTACCCTACAGAACTGAAACTTCTTAAAGATCTTGTCAGCAGATATATCCATATGACATTTTAAAGGAAGACTTAATTTGGCAGATAGTGATTTATATAGTTTTAAAAGATGGAAACTTTGTAAAACTTAGAAGAAAATGTCCTTTCAATAAACATTTCACAAAGGCTTCACCTAGATGTATTTAGCTAATAGATGCCTTGTTCAGTTCCAGGCTCATTATATTTTTATGCTATAAATATAATGTGAATATTTATTGTATATATATATATATATATATTCCATTTCATTATTTTGTCTTGTCTGTGAACTGACAAGAATTAGAACCAACAGCAACTTTCTAATTAAAGTTAAATATGGGAAAATGCTACTTAGTAAAAAAAAGAACGAGATAAACATTAGGTTGAACATTTTAGTG